ATGTCGTTTGTATTTAGATATTGCACAAATAATTCAAGAAATGTCAGTAAAAACCAAGGTATTACTTTTCATCGGTTAATAAGATACTTAATCAATAAAAAAGTGTTATAAATTAATAATAAAACAAATTATTCCTAAGACGCCATCTCGTGTCATGTAATATAGATTATGAAATCGATTTGTTTAGATGCGACATTTCTGTGGGTACTTAAGTATAGGACGAATATATTATTATACACTTTTTTTTGTAGAAACATACATGAGTTATCATTATTAGGCCAATTTTTTATATTTAAATCTGCTCAATATTCTTTTATATTATTTTTAGGTTTTCACATCAAAGTCAAAGTGGAATAAATTCGTCCATTTTTAACTCTCGCGTGCCCAGCATTTATGAACGACTTTTATTCTAATTTAAATAAATATATTTGTAATTTAAATTTTATATTAATAAGTTTTGTTAAACATACATTTAGTATGTTTTTTTTATATTTGCCTTAGATACCTTTTAAAATATTCAGATAAAAATATTAAAATGTAATTGTGATATTATATTATGTAATATGATATTAAATAAGCAAGTATACAAAATAAATGACAAAATTTGAAAATTGTTCTCGATATAATTTACCTATTTAACAATACAATCTATTTTTACCTATTGATCAGTCTATCTATGTTTATTCTATGATAAAAACCAACCGCGCGAACACAGAGTAGCGCACATGTTTCGTTTGAAATAGCTGTTCTAGTACATACGTACATATTACTTCAATACCCTGTAATTAATAAAATTAGAACTGAACCCAAGCATACCCCTGCAAGACTTTAATACAGTAAGTATATTCTGCGTATATTGGACCATAAATAATAATTAAAAAGCTGAATGTACTCCGTGTTAACACTGACATCGGGTCATCAGTCACCTCAGTCCTCCGTGACATTAGATGCTAGAAAGCACTCGAAACGTCGGGAATTAAAAATCAAATAAATTAAACACGATAAAATCCGTAAAAGTATGTAGTTTTAATGAACGTGTAGTGTTAGCGTAAATATAAGAAACCATTATCATTAATGTAGCCGATGCGTATTTAACGCATTATTAATAACTCTGAATAACTCTCTCTATTGATAACTCAAAATCTGCTGGTCAGATCTTGATCAAATTTATATGGGATCACATAAAAGCACCAGATTTCAAATAAGGAAAAAGAATCATCAAAAAGAAAAAAGACACATATAAAAAATACAGTTGAATTGAGAACCTCCTCCTTTTTTGAAGTCGGTTGGATATAAAGAAAATCCTTATAAATTAGTGTATTTATTAAACAATGCATTCTATTATTATATGCAATAGTAAGTAAACATGCTATGAAAGACAATATTTTTATGATAAAACGGTATCAACGAACGCTGAGGTCAGAATGTAAAGCAGATGGGTCATCTGCTTTTTTATAGTATGTTTCTAAAATGCATTGCTTTATTGTTTCTTATTATTTAATTATAGCCTATGAAAGCCCATTGCTGAACATAGAACTTCCCATTATGACACATTGCCTTACAATGAGTTGGCAACCGCATTATTCATTTTCTGGTTGTTGTTGCGTCGGAAGAGGCTAAGACACATTAATTCATATTTACAATAACTCTACTTAAATTTTTTGTCACATGTCTTTTATGTATTTGTACATTTTAAACTATATTTGGTTTATATTTTGCTTAAAAAATAAAGTCGAAAGTGTATTTATGTATGTATGTATTACTTTTTAACAAACTTCAAAAAAAGGATCTGAATTCCAGTGTTTGTTCTTTTTTTGTATGTATGTGTTTTTAGCGTGTAGTGGCGCTGTAAGAATGTTCCCACATCATCCCATGGGTATTGTTAGACACGACAGAGGGAAACGAATCAGGAGATGGGCAGCAGAGTCTCCCTAATAACGATTTAAAATAAAAAAAAACTGCCGTTGCAAGCTCGCTCGCCAAGAGCTATGGCAAATATCCCCCCTACGAGGCAGTATATGGAGGAGGCCTGTGTTCCGTTACTTGATTTCGTCATTTGTGGTCCGATTTTAATGGTTCCTTTTTTTAATAATAGTAAACTATTATTATTATTATACTTAAAGGATGTTGCCATATAATGTGGAGAAAAAATTTCACCCGTGAGGGTGGGAAAATTGGGGAAGAATTTTTTGATAGAACTAGTTAGACGACATTAAGATTATATTATACTTACACATACATCATACTTTTAATATAAAGTAGGAGTAAGAGCTGAATTCTGTTTGTAGTTTCAGCTGAAAATAAAAAGAACAAAACAATTTCACATTCTAAAGTCGTGGCTTTAATACTTCCTTTACAATTTCTTAGAGCCGACTTCTGAAATTGAAGTTTTTTTTATTGTTTTTAATTATTTGAAGTCACCTTTTACTTTTCATTAACATCAATTTTTTACTTCACTCTATCGTTCATTTTCCACTGCATAGTATATATGAGAATGCGCACAAATACACAGGTATTCGCTTTTCAAATTCCTACTCACCATCCAAAATCTAAGCACTAATTATGAAAAGATTTAAGGAAGGTTATGTTATGACGAAATGGAAAAGATTAATGCTGAGTTGTGTTATAGTACGAGAATTTTTCATCCTGTTTAATTGAGCGGACGACGTGAGAGGCTTTGACATATGTCACAAAGATCATATTGGCCTCCGATATATGCCGTTGTAATCATCTCATTTACGTCAGGCGTAAATACTTAGATAGGCGGTGGTAAACAGCGGCAAATGTCCGCAAAGTCTGGTGCTGCAATCGTCAATCCGCCTGCGAATGGAATAATGATTAAGATAAATCTTCCAAAAACGGGAAAGATACGGCGTTCAGCATTGGAAGAAGAAGAAGAAATAAGAGGCAAAATAATTTTTAATTATTGTTATGGAAATCTTTCAACCATATAAAAAATAAAAAGGGGTTATTATTTTAATTTTTTCGATAGTTGAAAGATTTTTGAAGCACCATTTTAAAATGAAATAATGGACTCATACGTGATTAATTTTATTTAACGGTTTTTTTTAAAATAAATTCCTCAATACTACTGCCATTATCTTCGAAAGTATAACTAAGAAATCTAGGTGTCTCACATAAATCTAATTTAGGTCAGAAAAATTTGGACTGCACTATCTTTTATGCATTTTTATAAAATATTCTTTCTAAATGTTTTAAAAATCCACAATTGCTATGAATTTAAGCGACAGTAGCCTAATGGCAGGGCGCGGACCGCGAACTCATAAAGGTCGTGGGTTCGAATCCGCCATTCGACTACTAGCGTGAACCACCCTTAACACAAGCAAGCTTAAGCTTACCACAAGTGGTTAAGGGGAATATTAGTAATGTTTATAGCATTGTTAATATTCTTTAAAAAAATAAAAAAATATATAAAAAAATATTCAAACATAATTAAAAATACTTATGAAATCACGATTCGTAATAATTGAGCATTTATGTACTTGATTTTGCCATCCATGTAATTCAAAATAATTTTTTTTATCTATGCAATTAATATGAAAAAACCTGTTTCACCTAGTCTTAATTCAACCACCAAAAGCTAGGAGATATAGTCGCTAATTATAAATAAAAAATAATAATCTATAATATGATCAATGAAAGATTATAAAGAAATAAATTTCAGAAGAATAATCAACAAAAATACAAAATTACAAAATACACAGTTATTAGTTGTGATCCTTTTGATTTTTTGCTGGATAAAGAGATACTCAGCAAATTCGAGCTAGGCCGCAGAAAGTTTTGTGACTTATGTTTCGTTATACTTATATTTCGTCAGTACTTCTAATAAAACCACTATCACAGCTAAGAGTGGCAGTGGATCTTAATGCGATTATTTGACAATTTCGACCACAACACAGCTTTGAAAAAAAAATCGTGAACTATTAATGCCATAGAAGATATTCATAATAAACAAGGGCCAATTCAAATAAAGATACTTGCCTTAAGGGGAACACTATGACCAGAGAACAGAGAAAAACACAAAACAAATAAAATATTAACATTTTTTTTTAATTTTGAATTCAAGCAAGATTCATATCACTATTTTACATGTTTATCTATGTAATCAATATAGCTATAACGTACCTATTTCAAAGGACGTTATATTTGAAACTGCAATGTAAAGGAAACAATATTTAATATTTTCGTACAGATTATTCCCAAGTTATAAACAAAGGAAATGGATTGTAGCGAAAACACAGATAAAACTAATAAAAAATATTATAAACGTCAGTTTATGGGAAATCTAATGCAAATAAACATTTATTTTATATGTTATAAAATGCACAATACACTCAGAAGTATTGAAACAGGTAGGACCTACGAATCGTCATATGTTTGTAGGTCAGTAGGTTACCACTGCAGATGGCTTTTGTATTTACATTATAATGACTAATTAAACGACATAACCAGTATGAACAAAGATTAGTATAAAATATAAATAATTAACACAATGATTCATTCTATACTTTCCCTTAAAAGCGAATTGTGGTAGGTCAATATACACTTTTTAAACAAAAGAATTTGCGAGTCCTCGCATATGTTATTATTCATAAAAAAATTATCACTCTGTATAATATAAATTTTGCGATAGCGTTGCATGTTGCCAGTTCATATAAATTTTGTTAGTGGTTAGTATGTTTCTAATAAATAAATATTATAAAATAACTATAAAAAATTATTAGAATATCGAAGCAGGCACAAAGGCAATAAATATGAAAAGCCCCGTTTTGTATTTTATTTTGTACATTACTTTGTGCATTATCAATGTTGATCTAATGGCAATAAAGGGACCTGCTATAACAAGATATGATCCCTGTGGTCTAGCACTAATACATTTCGATCAAATTTCAAGAAATTTTTGGCAAGGTGTTTTACATTTAGGATTCTATCGTAATTATTTTAGTCCGGTGGAAATCGAAATTAGTTTTGAAAAACAAATGGTTCTCCATGGGGTAAGTGTTTAAAAGATTATTTTTTTTTTGTTTTTTTTTAAAGTCCCTTATTTTGGAGGTTAATTTTTTGCAACTATTATTTCGCAGTTATTATTTTGAAGGTTTATTTTTTGCAACGTAAAAGTTAAAAAATACTTTTATAATATTAAAAGTAGCTTTGGTTTAGTTTTCGAAACCACGATGCCTTTAACGGGGCTTGTAAAGGATTAAAAATGTTTTACAAATAGATATTTAAGAATTATTTATTTTCAGGCTTCCCAAAACAGTACATTTAGCCTTAGGAATAACGGACTTGATTTCATAATAAAACCCGTGGGAATAGTACCAAACGAGTATATATTTTACTTATCAGTAAACGAAGAAAGCGATAACAATGTTCCTATTGTTAATAAATTAATACTTAATAAGCTGACACTATGTAATGAATCCATTAAGGTAAGTAATTCAAAAAATTTTTACGTGGTTGAGCCACGCTGCAGGTATATATATTATGGTTGAAGCACAAATGGGTCGACCTCGACCTCGACCAGGGAAGGACCACGCTCTCCTAGAATACCAACGTACTCGTAAAATAGCAGCTTAATACCTCCTGTGTTTCGTATGGTGAATGTCGAGATCCGGAGACCCTTTTTTACTGGAAACGAGGCATTTCATCTTAGTCCACAGGGGTGACAACGCATATGTGTGTTGATTCTTAATATGGGCCACAGCGTCCATTTACCATCAGGTGGCCTGTGTGCTCGTTTGTCACCATTATTCCATTAAAAATAACTGGTAAGAATAGCATGTCTTGTTAATATATCGAATAACATGCTGTTTTGTGGTACGAGTACATAACAGTAGTATGTGATCAAAGACACATGGTTTTGGTTTAAAACCTGATTGGAGACAATATTGTGTTCTAAGTCACATATCGCTGATTTCTTAAGTTCTGTGATTTCTTTGTTTTTAATGAGTTATTATGTGAATTCTCCTTATTGTCATGTCAATCTTCTATACTTTTGCATACTTATGCATTAGATAACAGTCTAAGGCAGCTGGGATTAAGTGCCGTGAACGCGTGAAGTAACGGTGAGAGAATATCCACTACCCCATAGCGTCCTGTGGTGTTGTAAGAGACGACGAAGGGAAACTGGATCAGGAGGATGACAGCAACATTTTCTTGATAGCAACTCAAAATAATTAAAAAAACATCGGTTGTCAACCCACCTATCCTGTGTGGAAACTATAACAAAATCTTCGCTATGAAGCAATATATGGAAAGGCGTAAGCTATACATAGCAGTAGACTTTTATAGGCTGCAATGTATGAATGGATAAAGTACCCGTTTGACACTTAATGTACCAACCACATTAAAAAATTTTAGTCAAAATCGACCAGTCGATCATAAAAGTTTGAGAGTTACTATAATATAATATGTAATTTCGATGGCCCTTCTAAGTAATAATAAGTAATTAATAATATTTGAAATGTATGAATAATATATGAAATCTTTTTAGGCCGAATAACTGTATGTTTATTCTGTAATAAGTATTTTTATCTAACACATATTGACTGTATAGAGGTTTACCAACAATACATAATTAAGAACGATGTGCGTGCGACCAAAATATACCCAAAACAGCAGGGACTGGCTGAAAAACAGTGCTGAGCATAATGCCCAGCGAATACTGAGCCTGTGCCCGTTGCCTCACATTATAATCGTATACTGAGTAATAATAGTTAATCTGATAATTGTGAATGTTTTTTTTTTTATTTCAAGTCTAATCATTTTTATGTGTATACTTACTTTGTAAACTTTTCATTTGTAAACTTATTATTGTGTGGCAATAAATATTTATTATTATTATTATTATTTATATATAGTATTAAAGTGACAAATGAAGCAACAGCCAAAGTCATAGTAAATGGCTGATATATGCCATGGAAATCTCCAATGAACACAACGAAGGTTATAGGTGCATGAAATCTCTAAGAACTAAGATGCTTTAAAAGCTGTAACTATATTTGCTCTTACCATACATTTCAAACTAACACAATATTGTTGTTTTCTGCATACCCACCCAACCGGATTTTAGACAGTAAAAGAGTCCAAACATAGATTAAAATAGTTTTATTCATAATAAAATACCTACATGGTGGCTCGTATTTGATGAGATATATTATATTTTAATTTTTGTTAAATTTACAACTAAACAGGCTCTTATATTTACGATTTTTATCTAGGCATCACAAACTGTAAGCCAATTTAACGTTACAAAAGAGTATGATACGAAATATCGCCATGTATGTGGAAGACGTGCGCTGGATAACGCTGAGCTAACGTCCGTGAGCACTGATGCCAAGGAGGGTGACTGGCCATGGCACGTTGCTCTCTTTATAAAGGACGTTCATCTTGACATTGATAATTATGAGTGCGGCGGTAACATTGTTTCTACGACGGCTGTTTTGACAGGTATAAAATTTTTAAACTAAATGTCATATTCATTATAAATCAAAGCAATTGAAAAGTTTATTTATGAATCCATTATCACTTCATATTTGGTTGCTTCCCACTCTACTAATATTTTTAACATCTACAGAACATAGGACCATTACTATTGTTATTCGCCGTACCAGGAATTTTTAAAGTATCTAAGCTACGACAGTTTAATTTTTTAATGGCTTATTGGTTGGTTTGATATACGAACGTCTAGGTATTATTTCTCTTCCATCACCCCATTTCAATCCATGGATGTCGTAAGAGGCGATTAAAAGAAATACTATAAAGACAGATTCCTATTTACCGTCATTCTGTTCATACCAGACGTTGAATATTAACCTCCTCACTGCAGGGACCACTTTTTATATCAGATTCAATTCATATTCGGGATATAAGCTGTTTAGGGGTTACTATTTAACTGAAAAATTACTAAAAAAATCTATTCGAGTTTTTCCTTATGTCCTGCCACTGGGACAGATGCAGGCTACTTATATTTTCAGGACTATTTTATGTTCTGCATACAAGACAATTACAGCCAATGTGAGTATATTATTGTGTAATGAAATAAGATAAGCCCATAAAGTACTCACTTTTTTATTGAAAAGACATATTATTAAACTTTAAACTTAACTTCTTCGTTATTTATTTTGAACAGATAATATTTTTATAACATTACTTATTTATTTAAATTGTACATAAAATCAGTCTCAATATGTCAGTCATCAACAGTTATAGAATCCTATCTAGCATACAAACAATAAAATTGACGCCATTTGCGTAGCTATAATTGAAAAATAAGAAAATAAAACCTCTGAAAATAATTATGGATTATGAAAAGCTTCAAAACAGTTTCTCTGAGCCGTGAAACATAAATACACAGCACATTTTTTGCAGATAACTGTAGTTTTTTTTATAACAACCCTCATTTCTGCATCTATTTTGCTTTGAACTGTGTTGTGGCATGTGATTAGCTTTTTTTTTGACGAATAGCTTTAGTTGGTAATGGAACTATAGTAGTCTTACGTTTCTTATGCTTTGGTAAAAGTTCTTCAAACTCATCAGCAGGGTCATCTATGTCTGTAGAATCTAAGTTATCAGCAATTAACTTCTCACCAAGTTCCATCTTAAATGCACGTATGCCTATAACGTTTTTAACGCCTTTTTCTTCTTCTCTCTCTGTTTGAACTGAAGGTATGAGTTAGCAACAGCCAAGTCTATCATATGAGAAATTACTCGTATTGTCCACTTTTTTGTTCTGTTACGTGAAGGGCATACAGCTAGCATTCTATCAACTAAATCTACACCCCCAGTATTTTCGTTATATTCTTTGATAACTTCGGGGCGTCTTACACGTTCATACACTTTGTTTTTCTTCGACCATCTTTCACACTCATCTGCATGTCTATTAGATAAACGCATTGACAACATCAACACGGGTTTATTGTCCATCCAACGTGTCACTGCCATCTTGACATCTACTCGTGTTTTTATTTCGCAATAACCCCGTTGCTTTTTCATAAAACTCTTATCTTCTTCTATCACACAGTTTTTGGGCAATCGGTTTCTCATAATTGTTCCAGTCGCGTGAAAACCTTTATTCAAAAATTCATCACATAATTTGATATTGGTAAAGTAGCGATCAAAAAAGATGTGGTGATCAAGGACAAGTGCTTCGGTCAGCCTAAGAATAGCTGCTTCTCCGAGACCAAAACCCATCTGTCTAATTTCTGGAAAAGTTGTGTCTCCTTGATATATCTCGAAATCTATAACCATTCCCTGAGGCGTTGCTAAAACAAATACTTTTAACCCTAAGGGATTAGGTTTGTTAGGGTTATATTGACGAATACAACATTGACCAGTAAACGGAATGATCATTTCATCAATAGACATTTTTGCTGTGCGAGGTTGAAGTAAACATACTTGTCGTACTTTCTCGAAAAGGGGACGCACTTTTGACGCTCTTCGACGGTAACATCAAGATCATAAACCACTTTTAACGACGTTCTAATTGCGTAAAAACGCAGACGTGTCATAGCTGATGTTATGATAGGCTGTTTCCATTTAGATGACCAATACATGTCTATTTGAGGATATTGTAATGAAGCCATAATCATTGTCACTCCAATATAAACTTTTAATTATTTAACTGTAATACCAAGTGACCTGCCTTTTACATGAACTGCTGTTCTGTTTGTACAATCCACAATTTGTAAGAGTATTTGTTCATCTATATAACGTTCAAAGAACTGTGCGTATGACCATCCATGGTCGAAATTTGGCACGTATGTTGGTTCATACAGATTTATTTCGAGAGGTTCAAAATTTCCAGTCTATAAATCCACAACATCAGGTTGAGATTGAGACGGTATTTGTCTGTAGGTTGGCTGAGCTGACCTTCGAGGGCGACGAGAAGATCTTGCTCGGCGTAAACCAGAGCCAGTTGCCTGGCGTATTATAGATCCACTCGATAAAGCCAAAGATGGTGGCTCAACAACATCATGGGAGTCTGAATTTACAGAAGAATTACTAGAATCATACCTTCGACGCTCTTGTGTAGCGATTTCTATGTTCATAGTGGGATCTTGGGTATCATCGTTGCTGCTAAAATCGACATCAGATTCTTCTAGTAATGCTAGCACGGTATCGTCAGAACAGGCTAAAACAAATATCAAATAAAATATTACTTACATAATTCCCTTACAGGTACTCACAGACATAACAATATTGCAGTCTGCATGATTCCTAAATACAGGACATATAATTTTTATCCCTAATGAAAATAAAATCATGGTAGAATTCGCGTAAATATTGACAAATCAAACTAAATCTGCTATTCGAAAACGTTAATTTGAATAACTTTTGATAGAAATAGCAACATTTTTATAAGATTCAGAAAGATTGAACTTACCAATGCCCGAGCGCTGCTCGATACGTCTGGATCTCGAAGCCATTTTGGCAGAATTGACTTCAGTTGAGCTGTCAAATATTTTTCTATACCTACAAAAATCTTCAATAGATGTCGCTAGGGGTTTTTATTTGACGTGACGTGAATATTTAACACGCAATATTTTTTATATTTTTATGTTCTATAGGTCCCACCACAAACCCAATTATCTACTATAGCAATCGTAGTAACTAATTCTCAACTTTTAAGGATTAAATTAAAAATATAAAATAATATATAAAAATTATTTGATTTTTTTTAATATGTTTGTCAGTCAGTTTATTATGTTTGTCAGTTTGTATTTGGCTAGAAAGAGAACTAACTCACTCGGTTTTACTTCGGAAACCGTAAACTTTCTTTTAATTTTTAAAATAATATTCGGAATGCTATTAATTATTATATTATTACATATTACAACGTTGTTAATATTCCTTTTGGCCACTCCTGGTAAGCTTACAATGCTTGTGTTAGGAGTGGTGACAGTAGTCGAATGACGGATTAGAACTCACGATCTTTTGAGTTCGCGGTTCGCACCCTGCCATCTATCTATATAAAACACAGAAAATGTCCGTTATAGACATTGAAACCGTTTAACTGATTTTGATGAAATTTTTGTGTGTTTAAATGGGTCTCTAAATGGTTTATATTTACATTTGGACCCAGTAGGTGGCGCTGTTGTCGAGAAATCACAAGTGCGAAGCAGGGGTGGATCGGTAGTATACAATAATTTACACCTTAATTAGACAATTCTTTAGGCGCATCATGATGATTTTTTTAACCGTCTATTCCATCGCATGGGGTATCGTTGGATAGTTATTGTAAAAATAATTGGAGGTATGGTAGAAAATATTTTCAATTCAGGGGTTCGTTTGCGAAATATTAATCTTTAAAATCGTACTTTTCAATAGTCATAGTAGGAGTCCCCCCCCCCCTCTACCAACTAAACCACTGTGTTTAGAAATGTGAAAGGTATACTTAATAGTAGCACATATAATGAAATTAAAAGAAAAATATTATAGTTAATTAGAACTAACAAGTTAACGAGTAATAGTCAACCAACTTACAAAATGCACTTGGATTAGTAAAGGTTTCGTTACAACTTCATATAAAATGTCATAAAACTAGCTGCATTATAACTTTGTAATGTTAACGTAAACTGTAAGAAATAAACATTTTATGAAAAAAACGACTTATATACATTACTACTATAGCTTTACTTTTTTATTTGCGGAATAGGCAGGGAGGATCTTTCTTACTCACTTACACCTTTTGCTTATTTTTTAGTTGGTAGTAATTGTAGGCCTCATTAAAAATATGTATACAATCATATAGCCGCATACAGTTTCTTTCGATATACTCTTGGTATACGCGGGCGACCCTCAAGATAATTTTGGGCTGTAGTGGTTTACGGGAAGGTGCTTACGTTTATGTATTATATTTTAGGGTTGTAGTGCAGGGAATATATGGGATGGGATATAGGGAATATATAGGCATATGGATGATTTAATATAAATTGTATTATTTTCAAAATTGATTTTTTAAAAATCTTTATTGAATAAGAAAGGGGTGGTTCCTAGAAGTCTGATTTGAAAATAAGTCCTTCATTTAACATCTTCCTATTTGGTCCCATTTTTAGTCGAACCATTTTTAGGCGAACTCACTTTTTACGCTCATTATCAAGAAAGCCCACGTATTAATATGGGCAAATACGGAACCCAACCTCTAGGCACTACGCACTTGACTAGTTTTTTATATATGAGGAGGGTTGTACCTTTGACTGACTTTGACTATTAATTTATTTTAGCTGGTCACTGCGTCACAATAAACGATATTCTGATAGATTCACAACGACTGAAAGTATTAGCCGGAATAAGTAATTTAAAAGAATCGAAGCAAATTGGACGCCAAGTTCAATATGTGAGTCATTCCATTCCATTGTATCAAATTATTATATTTTAAAGTTATTGCTTTATTTAAGTTAAGTTAATGCTGAAGAGGAGCTGCGCCGGCCATATAGCTCGAAGTAGTAGAAGTAGAAGAAAAGTTCTCGAGTTCCCGGACAGGTAAGCGAAGTGTTGGGCGGTCCCCCCACTAGATGGCATGACGACCTGGTAAGACATGCAGGATGGCGATGGATGCAGGTGGCTCAGGACCGTGCTTTGTGGCATTCCTTGAAAGAGGCCTATGTTCTCAGCACTGCACTTGTGAAAAGCTGTAATGGTGATGATAATGATGATGGTGATACTACTTTTATCTGATGATTGAAAATCATATCATATAAAAGTTATTCATAGGATGTAATATATAATATAAAAATTACAGTTTTTGTGTGTGTGTCAATGGTGAGTTCAAATGTAGCACTTTTATGCTCAATCAGTATTATAATTTACTTCACACGAGTGATTTCTAGCTCTCGACAAAAGCGCCACCTACCGTATCCAAATGCGAATCTAAACCATCTAGGGATCCATTCAAACACACACGAATTTCATTAAAATCGGAGGAGTCGTAGCCAGACTAACGTGCAGCAGTTGATTTTTATATGATAGAGATTTGATGGATAACTTTTATACGACGATAGAAAATTGTTATTAACTGTTATTTATCTAAACGTAAATATTATTAAACATATTGTTGCTACCTTTCAATTTGACTATGAAAATTTGTTTTTATCCAAATTATATAATTATACGACCTGTTAAAAACTGTGAATCGCTGTTTCAAGAGAGAAAATCAAAGACTATAAAATATTTAGAGCGACATTTTCTTTTGATATTTGGCAGGCAGAAAGAATAATACTACACCCAGCATATAATGTAACTCAAGCTACCGCTGACCTGGCTGTAGTGAAAGTTAAATACTTCACATTTACGGAATATGTGCAACCTGTTTGTATTTGGGGCCCTGTTTATGATAAATCTTCGCTTTTCGGAAGGGAAGCTATGGTAAATAATATCTGTCTTTTTATTTGTCACCAAACTTAATCCAATATTATGTCTTTCATACGCATGAGCTAATACCTGATGCTAAATGGCTAATGTTTATGTATACAACTGACTTCAAACTAAAAAATGTTGTTGTTGTGAAATTGCATTATTACTTCCAGAAATAGCTCATTTTATATTCTGTTATTTAAATTTGTAGGTAGTTGGATTCGGTAAAAGGGAGGATAACAAGCTTTCTGATACCCTTAGATCCGCTTACATAATGGTGCAGAATGACTCCACTTGCATTGAGTATTCACCTGAATTGTATGAATCTCTGCTGAACGAATTTACATTTTGCGCTGGGTTTGGACCTACTTCTGGTAAATGACTTCTCATATTACTTTTCTATATTATAATAAGGGGGTAATTTTTTTAAAATTTATTGTAATTACTTGAGAGATGAGGCTTATTTTTGTTGTAACGTAAAGAAAAAGTACAGATTACATTTGATAAATACGTTTTTACGAGAAAATACAATATGTTGTTTTTCCCCCAAGATTTCTGGTTATTTCTTTTTGCATCTCACTATTATACCATTACAACATTAATGTTGCGGTTTTATTTTAATAATCTACGAAAAAGTTATTCTTTCTAGTCACTACAGGCAAATTTGATCAAAATTTAAATACATTTCATTAAATATGATTGATATTTACTTATAGAATAAGGGTGACAAGCGAGCACATAATCCACCTGATGGAAATAATATCTGGATATTATTTTCAGGTATTAATCCTCGTAATGGCGATAGTGGCGGTGGCCTAGTTGTACCAACGGTGCAGCCAGATCATAAAATAAGCTGGTTTCTGCGAGGGATTGTTTCGAAATGTGGAGTGTCACCCGGGGAAACTCAGTGCGATCCTAAATTTTATCTTGTGTACACCGATGTTGGCCCGCACTACGGATGGATATATCACAACGCGGGCTTAGAGTACAGGAGCAATATTTTATACAACTAAACGATGCGACAAATGATATAACTATAAAAATTGAAATATATTTAGCTAAAAATACTAATTAAGAATTTAATACGTAATAGTGTAGATTTTTCACTCCCTAGATAAGCATATAAATAGCGTTTATTCGACAGCCAATAAATGAATTTTTCAACCGTCAAATAGGCTTTGTTCGACAAATAATTTGACTATCACATGAAAATAACTCTTTCTGTCCCTTTGACGACCAGATAATTGGACAGATAGTTTCTTTTTATGACAGAAGATGCTGAACACATTTTACTTTTATGTGATATTTTATTATTAATTCTTCATTTAATATAAAGTAAAACTGTTACTAGTATAGATATTTTAAAAAATAAAGAAGAGAAAGGAAGTCAGAAGCATTTGAAAGCTTTTCCCTCGGTTTTTTCCACTTTTGTTTTTGCATAGCGGATTTTTTATTGTACTTCTTTTAATTCTCACTTATTGAAACTCTACGTTTAACGGACATTAGTCATAGTTCCAAGTAAATTAGAGAACTCTGTTTTTCGTCACTCCATCAATTTTCTTATTTTCTGAAATTTGTTTGTATATTTTCACCAATATTTAAACAAATTTCACGCGCTTTTTTCTTTGATTAAATAACACAAGCGTAAAACGAAAGACAAAATATATAATAACTAGCCAAAAATAGTCTCGACTTTAAGCTGGCAGTTACAATTTTTGCAGAAAATGCATATGGTTTTTCCTGCTCCAACGTTTTCTCTTTGTAATATTTTTGTGTTTAACTCTCAGAAGTTAGTGTTACAATCATTAAATAAATCGTCTGGATAGTTATTTGTGAGATAAATCATAATTGAAAAATAAATAATCAATTATTCGCAAGTAAATCTAGTTTCCAATAATAATTCAAAATAAAGTTAGTTAGTTATTTGACATTTTATCTGAGAATGGAATAATCGGTCCTTAAAAAATCCTTTATTTATTATAAGAACAGTGCGTAGTCAAGATTTTGTTAACATTTAGACATTTTAATGATTGTAAAGTACTGATTGTATATTTTTCAAATTTTACGTTTTAACAATTTTAATTTTGTACTGACATGGTTTCAGAAACGGTAGCAAAAAGCCGTCGCAATAAATCACGATTGCTTTTATGAATGCCTAATCGTAATTGTAATACCCGAACCGAATATCTGTATATAACATAGTTAGAATTCAAAACCAAAACTCATCGCATAAAACTCATGACATCTAGTACTCCTGGTATAGCTGACCGATCGGATATCATCGCCAGTAAGCCAAGTCTTAAAAAATTATGTTTGAAGTTAGATAGCATTTTGTTTGCAAATGGTTTGACAACTGAAACGGGCAAAATTTAAGATTCTGAAGTTGGGAGAAAAGATATTAATTAATTTTCGCTGGGAATATAGATAACTGTTTTCACCAGAAGATAGGCGGAGGGGACGGTAATATCTGAACGAGGCGAAATTCAAATTCAAAGTATTTAAAGTGACTTTAGTGTTATATTTTGCGTTAATTCAAAATATGGTGTGTCTTGCAACTTAACCACCCTTTTACATTATTTATTGTATTTAATAGGTCTGTACCTAACATAAATTACATACTGAATAACGTTATTAGTTATAGGAATTAAACAATTAATCAAAATTATAAAAAATACTATAAAATAAAGAATACAGAATATGTAATTGGATTTATTGGAGTATATAATTTTTTTAAATATTCTTCTAAATTGTAAAAACAGATTAATATAAATTTTTTTTGATTTCTTATTAAATGGAAGCAATTAGTGTCATTTATAATATTCATTTTAACTACTATTACTACTACATAGTATGGGCTGCAATTTAGCATTTTAATTCTGGATGATATGATGATATTTTATGTTTCTACTTTCTATTATTTTGGAAAAATACCTTATCTACCTACCCTACCCTACCTAGTTTTTGAGTGTATATATGAATATAAGATGTTAAAGTTAACAGATTATATTTTACGAAGTATGGTTTGCACTTACTTTAATATCTATTTTATAAATAATTCTCACACATTTTTTAAATGATTAGTAGGTTATTTATGTCTGTACTGCCGCTCTGTAATATAATTCCGTATTGTAACCTTGAGTATATAAGCTTAGACCTAGTACGCAGACTGCTGCGTCCTCCTTTCTGCTGCGCCCTCCTTTCTGCCAAGGAGGGTCGCGTTCGTTTACGGCTTAAAGATCTCTCCTCAGATCAGTAAGCCAATCCCTAAAGGTAGAGTTTAGTGGGTAAAAGTCTCCACATAACCACGCAGCCGGCTGCGTGGTATGCTACGAGCATTCTCCACCTCCCTCCCCCGTTACCGGAGCCCTTAATTGCTTCGGGCGCAAAAAATGCTTCTGCTTCTGTATTCTTGCTGCATTTAATTCAAAAAGGGCGTACGTGAACTTGGATAATTTACATTTTACGGATTCGATAACAGTTTGTTTTTTGTTGCTCAGCTATGATATGAGCTTTCCAAATAATATGAATGTCACGGATGATGATAATTAAGCAAATATAATCGTATTAACAGTCTTTATTTGTGATTTATCAATAGCATTGATATCTTTAGGTGGCTTATTCTAAGATCGCAATTCGCAACTGAATGATGTTGGTATTATTATTGTTTATTTCTAAATTGTGTTTTTGTAACCAGTCCGTTACATTGTATAAAGTATTACGTAGTGTTATATTTGGGCTTTCATTGGTTTCACTTAATTCATGAGGTATGATAAAGAAATATCATCAGCAAATAAAATTGGAAATATAGTTTCCTTGTCGAATTTTTTTGAAGGTTGTTAATGTTAATTAAAAATAAAAAAACATTACAGCCTTGTGGAATTGAAGATGTTAAATGTCGTTCTTCGGATCTAATAATATTTATTTCATTTAATTTATGATTTTAATGTTTTATTTGAACAATTTGTTTCTTGTTGCTCAGCAATGATTTGAACCAAAAATAAACAACAACAATAATAAACAAGTAACTTGGTCTATCACTATTAGTACTTTTCTATCTAAAACATGTGTATTGTTTATCGTATTTATGTTGGCCAGGTCTGGAATATATCAACAAGAGTTATCAAGTCATTGGAGGGATTTGGCAATAATCCCATTCAGGAGTTAAAGGCAAGATCGCCTTTAATATTAAAATGTATTTCATATAAATTATTTTGAAATAATCGTACATATTTTCGTTTCATAATAATCGTATATATGTTTTATTTTTTGGCCAAAAAATTCAGTATGTTTATTGAAATATATATGAATTCATTTGTAATGAAATTTTCTGATTCTGATCTAATTTTCTAATTTTTGAACCTCACATTTCTCCAAAACATGATTGGTGGAAAACTTCAACTGAAAACTAGACTCTAAAACACAGTGAACTGAAGAAAATGAACCTGGTTTTTGTCTAGTCCTGATAGAGAAAAACTTTTTTATGACGACCAAGCAAACAACCTTTCAAAGATCTGTAATCTCTGCAATCATTAGCATAGCCATTTACGCAGGACAAAATTATAGAGTATAAGTGCTTATGCAATTACAGTTGCACTCTTTTCTTCCTAGCTCCCTTATTCCAATGGGAGAGAAACCCAAACGCAACTGAAAGCAGATCAAGCGCTGGACCAACGGTTGTCATGGTTTCTGATATACAGGGGTGAAATACCGCCAACTTCCCGACTCCGGGCTGTTGTTGAGATTTTCTTGAGAGTAATACCCAATATTGATTATGACCCAGGGATTCAAAACCAGGGACCACTTGATCAGAAGTCTTGCTTACGACCACTAGACCAACGAGGCAGTCGATAAAAAAATAGTCGATTGTCAAGTCCAATTGCGGAAGTATCGTATCTGGAGAAAGAAGATTTTGAGTAAAATTGAGAATTAATAAAGAGTATGTAATAATTTCTTATTCGAATGGCAAATTCAACAGCATTAGGTAGGTACGCCATGCAATTAATGTACAAGGATGGTGATTTTTTAAAAAATATGAGGGACAAATGAGCACTTAGTCTACCTAATGTTAAGTGGATGCTGTGTTCCCTCACTATCCCAAATTAAGAATCAAAATTTTGATGCAATTACATGATGGATAACTTAGTACGGCTCATTACCAGTCAAGAAAGTTGCTTGTACAGCGAAGTGAGAATGTTCAATCATATAAGTTATGCATGAATTTGTCGTAGTTTTCAGAAGTCCTATATTGAATAGTAGATTTATTGTATTAAATACTGTCAATAAAGAAAAAGAAGCACTTAATAATTCATGATAAGTTACGAGTTACATTGCTAAGAGTTAAAAAATATAATTGGTTCGTCTTATAACAAGTAAAGAGAATCAGAAAACTTAACTAAAGTAATTGGCATAGAATAAAGATTTTATAATACGAAAGCTGTCCTTTTTTGTTCGGTGACACTTTTTTAATAAGATTTTAATAAATTATGCAGGAAAGCGACGCTCCGTCAGTTGGCGGAGCGTCGTCGTTGAGAAAATATAGCAAGGTCTTTTTATTGTATTTGTATAAAATAGTACAACATAGTTTAGTTATCAGCATTATATTGTGATTCATTGAAAATGTCCCATCCAATACAACCTATCAAGTCCTCTTTTGATTGTAGGTTTCTCCCAAATAAATTTCCTCATAGTGTGGTTATTTGCCGAAGTTGCCACGCTTGGCAGGCGGGTTGACAATAGCAGTTTTGCTTATTTTAGCAAGACTTTCCGTAGTGAACACGCTATTACTGATCTAGTTATTTTACTTTTTTCTCATAATTATAAACACTCAAGCCTGTCTCTCAGAGAGGTAGGCAGAGACTAGAGACTTCCATTTGGCACGATCCTGACACACCTGTTTTGCCTCCTTTACATACGTATACCTACGCAAACACGCTCATCGGTTAAGGGCACTCTTAATCTGGCTTATCTTCAAAATATCGTAAATTTACTAGATAAATTTTCGCCTAAAACGTCC